GTTTTCAAATCTTTCTCTCCTACAAGTTAGGGACTCTTGACGGAGATCTCTCCAGACTGCCCTGTTCACGGGTGATCCCCTGCCCGGTCTCCCTGGACATCCTAAACCAACCACCCAGCGCTGAGCAAACTCTGACTCCCCAGGTGACTCAGGACCACAGAGCTGCTGTGGGTTCTTTGGGAATTTGGTCTGTCACATATTTTGCCTTAGTTACAAATGCCCGATGTTTTCTGTGCAGATCTGTTACTGTTGTCATTGCTGGAAGGAAGCCCACCACCCCTTTCCTTCCTATTCCATCCACAGACACAGTAAAATAAAATGAGGCTCTAGTTCAAGAAGTCAAAGATGTGAGTTTTGCAGCCATGGGGGTGCCACCTGGTGGGGCGTCTGTGGGACCTCAGGTACCCCATCGGGTCATCAGCTACCTGGAACAGGCTAGCACTTGTCTAACCTTTGCTACAGAGGCTCAAGAGGCCTCAGCTGAAGCACTAGGGCTTGTCTCCTGCCTCCCTGCTACTTAACCCAGACCGGGTGCCCTCACATTTCTGCCCTCTGGCTCCTCAAGCTTCCCTTGATTCGGTGACCCAGAGTCCCCAGGGCTGTATGCTGCTGCGTGTGCTGAGAACAATGCAAAGCCCTGTGGACTGGCTCAGCCTTCCCATGGTTGCAATGCCACACCAGGGAAGTTGTGATCACGTGACAAGTGGAGCGAGCAGGCCACAGACTTTCCTCCTCCAGAAATGACAGCCTGAGGATAAAGGTGCCCGTCTGTGTTCTCAAGCAGAACACATCTGAATGACGGGAAATCATTTGACACTTTAAGTGAAAAAAAAAATGGCAATAAAATTGCATGTTCAAGATTATTTTAAGCATGTTAAAACAAATACACATACACTCACTCACACCCAAAATTGTGAACAGCAGTTGTTTGGTGGCAGAAATGTGACTGATCTTTTTTTCCTTCCTTAGGCCTTTTATGTTCTCATTTTGTTGTGTTTTGGGACAGGGGGTAGAGTCCACTTGGTTTCTCCTAACTTCCTTTTTCTTATGACATAGGATCATGTACTTTCCCCTTCGTTGTCCTTGATAGATGATCTGAGACTGATTATCACTCTCAGAGGAAAGACATTTCATTAGAATAAATAGATCTGTGGTAAAATAAAAGCCCCTGACAGTCAAGAGAAAAGCTTGGAGACTGTTCACGGAGGCAACAATCTCATTAGAGTTTGTAACATTAAAAGAAGGTGTCATGATTCTGGAGTTTGAACCTTTTACAGCTAATATTCTTATCCCCAAAGCATGTGTATAATTATTATACACTGTGAAATATGAGTGTAAATAAGGATGCAAGTGCACATAAATGAAAAAGAGGAAAAGCAATGTCATATAGAATTCTATTACCTAAGAACAAAATAAACCCATTCTTAATATCTGGACTCATGCACTCCCAGTGGTTTCCTTCCTGTTCCTGTGCATTTATATGCCTATGTGGAAAAGAAACCAAATACAAAGCAAAGCTTAAAGGTGTGACCTGAGGACTGTGCAACTGGCCCTTCTCTCCCCTCTGCTCAGGAGCGTTCACAGAGAGGAGGTTTAGGAAGTTCTGATCATTATAGCTCCTCGCTGGGTCCCTCTGACTGTGGGGCCAAGCTTTCCAGGGGCTGTGACCGGACATCTGGACATCTTGGACAGCAGCCCCTGTCTTCACGTCTGATGGAAAACAATTACATGAGGATATGCTGTTTGTTTCTGTCCCTGAAGTGTTCTTGGATGTCTTCCTATTCAGCGAGGCAGATTCTGTAACCCTGAGCTTCTCTCCAGCACACGTGTTCCCGTCCGCTGCTCCTATGGGATGTGGCACAGGGACCTAGAGGTGCCAGCAAAATCAGCCAAGGTTTCCAAATTATTTTAGCTCGTGAAACAAATATCCCCAAATGCACCCATAATTCTCAGGCATCCTCTTGCTCATGAGGTTTTGTTGGTCTCCGTTACACTGCTGCCACTCAGAAAAATCTTGATTTCCAAACTCTTCTTTTCCCCCAAGTTAAGGACTCTTAGAGAAGATTTCTCCTTGCAGCTCTGTTCACAGGTGGTCCCCTGCCCAGTCACCCTGGACATCTGTTACTGACCACCCAGTGCGGAGCAAACTCTGGCTCTCCGGGTGACTCAGGGCCACAGAGTTGCTGTTGGCTCTTTGGGGATTTGCTTTATCACGTGTTTGGCCTTAGCTACAAGTGCCTACATTTGGGCCATTTAAAGCAAAGCAGATCAGCAACAACAAAGTCAGAGAAGCATAAGAAGAAAGGGAGAAAAAAAGCATCATTTATGGTTCTGCCATCAAGAAACAGCCATTGTTTATAATTTTGGAGAATATGTTGTGTGTACTTAAAGATAGTTAAGATAACTCTAGAATAGAACAGAATTTTATGCCATATTTTTCACTTGCCATGTCATAAACATTTCCTCAGCATTGACAAACTTTTTTTGGTAGCAGTATTGAGGATTGAGCCCTCAACCTTCACACTGAACTACATTCCCAGCCTCTTTTTCAGTTTTTTTAATTTTGAGACAGAGTTGGTCTCATTAAGTTGCTGAGTTTCCTAGGATGAACTCCAACTTTGAATGCTCCTACCTCAGCCTCCAAAAGGGCTGAGATTACAAGCATGCACTGCCACACCTGGCTGACTGAGGTCAGGCTATGATTCCATCCTTTTGTGGCCCATAATCATGCTAAATCCTAAGTCTTCCCCTTGATGTCGCCTGGGAAATCTCAGGTAACTGCTTTGTGCCCTGTCAACCAAACAGCAGTGTTCTTCATGGCAGGAGAGATGTCCATTTGTCAGAACATCACAGCATAGAGAGGGGGCTGGAAAATGAATCACAGGACACTAACAGAATTAGAAAGCTGAGAGTCATGGCCTTGAGCAGCAACAACAGTATAATTGGGGCCACAGGAGAAAATGACCAAGAAAAAGACAAGAAAGAGACAAAAACAGGCTGAATTGAGATATTGTGTCTCACCCCTCACTTCCTCCTGCACTTCCTCTGGGTGGTGTCTTTTATGTGGTCTTTAATACATTGTATCAGTGAAACTCTCCTATCTACCAAAAATTCTTTCTCTGTTGAGTGTCAAATATGGACAAGGAAAACTAATCAAAACAAATAATTCAGCAGTCAGAAATATGTGATTTATATGGAGCTGCACGTGAAATGATTTGATGTTTCTTAACATAGACACCTCTCTATAAACACCCTGGAAATTAAAACAAAGCATTGGTACTGAATCCCATGGGTAGTGTCATGGAGGTTGGCACAACCTTCCTATTCTGGACCCTTCCTGTTTTCAGATCAATCCTTCCCAGAGTCAGGGACATTAGTTAGATCCGGTCTCTCATTCTTGACCTGCTGTGTTATTGTGGTTGCTATTCTTCACCTATGACTTTGATACTGCTCTGTTTATATCTTAGCTGCTTTTCTCAAAGTACCCAACATTTATAGTAAAGTACTACAACACCTACAAGATAAATGAGAAAAGGTTTATTTCATTTCACAGTCTGTAGAGATTTCAGTCCATGGTCAGCTGGCAGGGAAGCACAGGAGAGAAACATCATAGAGAAAAACAGTTCATGGTATAGCATGCAGGGAGCAGCAAGCAGCAGCAACAAGTCTCCCTTTCGCTTGTACACTATCTAGGCTACAAGCCCTTTGGGTAGTGCAACCCACACCAGGGTGAGTTTTCCAGTTCTCCGTACATAGAACTGTAAAAAGCCAATTGGTGGACTAATTCAGTATCACACACCCTTAATCCCGGTATCACACACGTTAGATCCAGTCACCTATGAAAAGTGCTACCTATAAGCGCATGAGGCTTTGTGGGACCATCTAGGTAGAAACCATAATAGTTTGTTACAGTTCTTTCATCCTTTGGGCTAATCTCTCTACATGTATTCCTTATTTCTATGATTATTCATGCTTCTTTGGAATCAAAATATCTTTAAAATGAACAAACAAATGTCAGGTTTTGTTTTAAAAAACATTTAATAGTTTGTTATAATGTTTGAGGTACCTCAAATGCAGAAATTTACCATGATCTCCTACATATTTAAACATTATATTGGCATGAAAATTCATTGGAATTTCTTGAGTGTACTGTACTACATGATTGAGTTTTGTGACTTTTTAATTGAACATTATATTTTGGCACTTTGATCAAAATCTGAGAGGCTCATATTTCTAGAAAACATATAAAGGTGAAAAAATTATTAACTTTGCCAGCAACTTGTTTTCTGATTACATAAACATATAAGAAACTCATATTTCTGAAAACTTATGAAACTGATATTTAATCATTAACTTTATCAGTGGCTTCTTTCCTGATACTGCTCATTATGGATGTGTTTGGCAGTTCTGTTTATTTGTCCTGGGTGAATGTGTGAGAGTTGAATGCTGTAACTTTCTTTAGAAACTTGAACAATGTTCAGTGCTTCTGACTTTCTTGAGTTAGTTAGGAGGCTGGAGCAAGACGATACAAGTCTGAACCCACTCTAAGCAGCTTAGCAATTTAACATGACCCCATCTCAAAATTTATAAAAACCAATGGAACTAATACAAAGATTTTGGTATAGTGTCATCTCTGTTGCTGTTATTTGTTTGTGTTGCTAATTTGCCCTTGTTTTTGTGGGTCATGGAGCGAGGCCAGTTTGTAAGTGTCTGAATTCAATTTCTTTATCCAGAGAAGCTTGTCAGGCCCCAGAGATGTCTTAAAATTTCATAGGTGTTGTAAATAGGTATTAAAAATAGTGTCACCAGAAGTATGTATGAGAAAGGCCTTTTAAGACCCCTTCATCATCTTTTTCTTTCCTCCTGGGTTATTTCCCTTAGAGCATCCCTGCTTGGGCCCTGCCTCACCGTCGTCCCCTCCCATGGCCTGCAGGGACCCTGTTGCCTGTCCTCATCCTCCCTTGGTTGTGACCCTGCTCTTCTCTCTCGCCCATCCGCAGAGCCCGGCGTCTGCACGGTGTTTGGAGACCCTCACTACAACACTTTTGACGGCCGGACCTTTAACTTTCAGGGCACGTGTCAGTACGTGTTGACGAGAGACTGCGCCTCCCCTGCCTCACCCTTCCAGGTGCTGGTGAAGAACGATGCCCGGCGGACGCGCTCCTTCTCCTGGACCAAGTCGGTGCAGCTGGTCCTGGGCTCCAGCATCGTCAGCCTGGAGCAGCACCTGGCCGTGCGCTGGAACGGCTCCCGTGTGGCACTGCCCTGCGATGGGCCACACTTCCGTGTGGATCTGGAGGGCTACCTGCTGAAGGTGACCACCCGAGCAGGTGGGGGCCCTCCCTCAGCATCCACTCCACCTGCTCCTGCAGGGCTGTGTCCTTCAAGGCATCTGGAGGTGCCACCAAGAAGTCAGAGACACTACATGGAGATAGGGTGCTGGGCACAGTGGCCTTGCTATCTTCATAGACCCGGGACCTCACTATCCTCACTCTAGAGATAGTAGTTGTGCTCTTCAGATGAGCCCAGCCTGGCCTCTGATGTCCAACTTGAAGTTGTCAGGGCCTCTCTTAGCTCAGTTACTTATATGCAGTTTCACACCTGGAAGAGGAGACAGGGTTTCCTTGTTAACATCTGACCCCAAAGTGGGCGGCATCTTCAAAAGCAACAGTTAGTGTCAGTGGTGTTCAGAAGAAATAAGGCTGGATGTGGCGGGCTTGCCTGTAATCCCAGCACTTCAGGAGGCTGAGGGAAGATGGTTGCAAGTGAAGGGCTTGTTCTTGGGGCCTCTGCATGCACTGGGTCACAATCCAGCTTAGCCATCCTGTGCTAAAGAGGATGAGGCTGCCACTCATGAGTGTCCAGATGAAGGGGACAGGAGCCACATGTGACCAGCAGTTCTATCTACCTAGATGCTGGCAAAGGAAGCCACCACACTGACAGCTGGAAGCATCTTTTTAGTCTGGCTTTGAAAGAGCAATCCTCCACACCTCTGGGCGTGTGGAGCTGCTGGCTGAGACCTCTCTAGCAGCAGTGTTTGTTACATCCTCCATTTCCACTCGTAGGCACACCCAGCCCAAGCTGCTAGGGGTCTGCCAGGCTCCAGTCTTTGTCTGTTAAATGTTGCTTAAAAAACACTTTACATGCAGAATCTAGTTCCTGGGTGTCAGCCCCAGAGACCACGTCCTGGTCATCTTCACACTTTATGACACCATGTTTGGGTTCTGTGCGGGCTGCCTGTGGTCCATCCTGTTGTTTGCTGGTTGAACATTGTGTGTTGTGTCCTAGCGAGTGCTGTCTCTTGAACCATCATGATATGTAAGGAAATCAGCCTACTGACCGCCTTCTTACTGATGAGAATTTAGCAATGTTGAAAGCATCACTGAGTTCCAATTTCCTTAGATAACAGAGTCACAAAAGGAAGCCTTTGATGGAGCAGCCACTCGTAAGGGTCCATAAGGTTCTTCCTGCTCTCAGAACTCTGCTCATTGTTTCAGTTCAAGCCAAAATATATTTTGATTAATCGACTTGACTCCTTGGTGGGCCGACTTAGTAAACAAAGACAAGAAAGCCAAGGCGCAGTCCTGGGAGCTTTTAGTTAGTAAACACATCAGCATTTCGGTGAGACAGTGCTTTTCATTAACATATTAACATATTCGACCATTCAGCCAAGGGAAAAAAAAAATCCCTGTTCTTGGCATTGTAGATTTGAAGAGCTCTTCTCATGAACTCTAGGGGGATTAGACCTGCTTAGAAAACTCAGTCACCTATTCTTCTGTCCAGAGGACACATGCTCTGCAAATGTAGGCCCTGCCTGATTGTGTAAAGGAGGAGCGCTTTCTGGCTGCCTGTAAAACGTAGCAAGATGTCCCACTACTACAGAGCACTAATGAGAAGCACCTTGTCTATCTGTTCGCAAGCCAGACTGACACAGCGGATTCTACTGAGATGGAAATTATGAGCCAGATAAATCCCAGTTCTCCAAGGTATCCTGAGTGTCTCAAGATTATTAACAGCCCAAGAGATTCAATGTTGTTCCTCATACTGCTGGCAAAGCCTCGTTCGTGGATTACGTTTGTTCTCTACACAGATTCCATGTTGTAAAAATGAGCAAAAGGGCAAGGCTGCTAAGGAAATAATAATGGATCACAAAAATTTTTTTAATATTATCTACAATTAGATTAGTGAATTTAACCATCCTTCACCTTGAACTAAATTTTATAATTTCTCTTTAATTTTTCCATCTCTTCACAGTGCAAGTAATTTTTATTGTTCTCTCCACACCCAGCTGGACAGTGTTCTGGTGCAAGCAAGTCACACAGCCTTCTGCTCCTGGAAGTAGCATCAGTTTTATGGGTGCTACGCTTTACTCTGTTCATCCTTTGAGTGGAACAACTTGATTTCCAGATGATCGCGTTTCTACTCTGGTCTGTGTATCTCAGTTTGAACTGAGAACACTGCACTGGACCCCAGAGAATACACCCTCTCCCAACTTAGATGGCATCCGATCAGGAACGCTCGCTGTTCCATATCACTGATGCACCTTCAGATTCTCACCTGCTCTCCCCTTCAAGTGGGCAGCAGCAAAACCATCAGTAATCAGAAAGCAAAGGAATGCAAAGCAAACAGCGACATCCATCCTAACAGGGTAGTGGTCTGCAGCCAGGTGACACAGCTGCAGGGTGAAGAACAAGTTGGCAAAACGTCTCCTGGCAGGAAGGGAACAGGGAAGGCCTGTCCTAAAGTGGAAGGAATGTGACTGCTGCCCACATCCCCTGATGGAGCATCTGCCCTGGCCTCAGCCTTCCGCGGCTGCCAGCTGTGTCTACCCAGGTTCCCACGCTGGGAATCAGGAAACAGCCCGGCTGCAGAAAGGACTGTGCTCAGCCCCTCCGACACTTCAGATCTTTCCCTCTCATAAGATGCTGATCTACAATATCATTTGGAAGAGGAAGTCCCTGAGTTACAACTCACTAGTGTTTTGTTTTTGCTTTTTGCTTTCATGATCTACTTTGCATGAATTTTACTCCTATAGAGGATAAAAATATTCACACACACACACACGTGTGTGTGTAAATGATACAGCAAGAAACAAAGGCCGTGGGGAGAATAAATCATCTCCTCTATGAAACCCTCACTGATCTGTGAAAATTCTCTTCGTGTAATAACAACGAAGAAAAAAGTGAATTACATATTATTCTCTTACTCTGAGGTCCATGTGTTATGATGAGATGTCATGGGATTTGAGAAAAGTTTGTTGAAAACCCAGAGGGTCTGCATCTTGCCAAGCTCATGTGGACACAGAAGTCAGCGATCAGCTTGTTCCTTATGAGCTGAGTTCCCATGAACTCAGTGGCCCAGAGGATTACATTTATTATGTCATTGTCAGTCAAGACATGGGGGCTCCTTTGGGTGTAAATGCTCAACTATTTGTGGCACTTGGAAAAACAGTATTTGCCTGCTGTCTAGGAAAAAGATTTGTAGTTTGGAAAATGTTGCAATATTGCAAATCTTTGGGATTATGATCTAAAAGTTGGAGTTTATATGGAACTGATTTCCTCCCTCCATTTCTTTTGCTGAGTAGCTGCCTGGGTACAGGCTTGTGAGGTCAGGTTTTGTCTGTACCTTGCAGAGCACACAGTATTAGAAACCATTTACAGTTTGTCTCCTTTAAAATGGTTGTCTCAGTCTCTTAGCCAGCATGAAATTTGGAATTTGTTTGGTTTTGAAGTTGTGATGTATCAGAATTACAAGGGTAATTCATTTTTTTAATTCCACACCCCCCACTGGATAATGTGTTAGATGATGGATAGGAAGAAATGGAAACCATTGTACATTTCCAGTTGTGGTTGTCAGAGTTGACACCATGCTCTCAAAGACCTGCAGGACTCAGCCCAATGCAAACATTCTAGTACTCTGGCCACTTTCTCTTTACCCGGCTCACTATTGTCTTCTCTTCATCCAGTGGCTCCCAGAAGACACTTGCCCAGGTACTACTTCATTTCTTACCATCCAAATCTATTTAGTTGCTCTTCTCCCAACCAAGAAATCTTTTCCACCATCTACCTTAGGTTTAGAATGCTTTGGTTCCTTCCACTTGTTGTGCAGGGATGTTCTTCTGCTTCTTTCTTGAAAACTCCAGTTTTAAGCCTTAAGTTTCCCTTCTAATGTCCACCCTGAATAACTGTGTCTTGCGCATTTATCAGCTTAATCCTGGACTTTTAGGAGCAAGAATTTAAAAAAAAAAAATAAAGCCTTCTAGTTGAACTTTTCTTTTTCCAAATGTTCAGGAAGAAAAAGAGTTTTTTTCAGGAACCCAAAAGGGTAAGATTTAAAAATCTCAAGGAGGCAGAGATGTATTAAAAATAACTTGCTCCGTGGGTGTCCCTTGGAAGACAGTGAGGATGGCTGTGAAGTCCCAAGTGGGCAGGTGCATTGATCTGATGTGAGTGTGCAGTGCCATTCAGGTACAGTGACTGCTCTGCACGTGCTGCTGCACGGTCTGCCACTGCTGGGAGAGGGGCACTGTAGTGCAGGGTGTGCACAGTGAATGTGTACAGAGCTAGAGAAAAGGTTGTTTGTTTTGTGTTGAGCCTCAGGGCTTTGCATCATGACCTGTCTTTTCTCTTGTGTACAGTCTTCTCAAGCACTGCAGCAGAGTGAATCTGAGAGGTTCTTCCTGACCTCTAGTTGGATTAGCCTGTACTGCATGGCAGTGTAGCCTGGCTGGCCTCCGTGTAACAGAGACGTCCCACTGTTCACAGGCTCCAGTGGGTTGGGTAGCTCCCAGGCATCCCAGGCCAGTGTGTCTGGAGAAATGTGCAAGTGTTCAGACCAGCCCTCCTGCATGGTAGAAGTCAGTTCAGCAAAGCAGGAAGCAAGGAGCAACTTCCTGGAGCAAGGAGACTTTCCTTGATGACCAAGGGAGGGCTGGCCTGATTATAGGCATAAGAGGAATCATGTTCGTGGCCTGGTGCCTCTAGTCTGCCTCAAGTGAGCATAGCAGGGGTAGAGGCCGAGGTAGGGAAGGGAACGTTTCCCAGCAACTAAACCCCAGGAAACCTGGGTCAGTGGTCCATGTCTCAGGAATGGACCTAAAATCATGATCCTAAAATCATGAAGGAGAAAATATGAATGTTGTCCTTTACAGATGATGTATTCAGAAGCTTTATTCATGTATTCATTGCTTTTATATTCTCACTATAGCAGATAATTTGGAAAATTTCCTTTAGCACTTGGAGGAATAATTACATGGGAAAATTTTTGGATAAAAAAGATATTAAAGCACTGTCATCTTTCTCTTACGTTAGTCATTGGATAATTGAAGGCACAGTTTGGACGAACGCAAGTACTTTAAAGAAGGGCAATATTTGTTAAAGAGGTCAACATAAAAGTATATAAAATACTAGAATGGCAAATTTTGTAGTTTAAAAAGTCCTAAGCCCCCAAGTGATGATTTGTGTAATTTACAGAGTTCAAAGTAGTGAGATTAAAAGACACCTGAGATTGGATAGAGCCACTGAGCTCTTGTTGGAGGATGGGGTCGCATGTAGTGTGTGAAGATGTGCACATTTGGGGACTCCTGGAAGCTCAGAAGAGCTTGAGCTCCTTTCCTTTCCTCTCTTCTAGGTTTAGAAATATCCTGGGATGGAGACAGCTTTGTGGAGGTCATGGCTGCCCCTCATCTCAAGGGCAAGCTGTGCGGTCTCTGTGGCAACTACAATGGACACAAACGTGACGACTTAATCGGTGGAGATGGGAGCTTCAAGTTTGACGTGGATGACTTTGCCGAGTCTTGGAGGGTGGAGTCCAATGAGTTCTGCAATAGACCTCGAAGGAGACCGGTGCCCGAGCTGTGCCAGGGGACAGTGAAAGTGAAGCTGCGAGCCCATCGAGAGTGCCAGAAGATCAAGTCCCGGGAGTTCCAGACCTGCCACTCCGCGGTGGACTACACCACTTTTTACCGGTAATCACCATGTTCTGGGGGATAAGGGGGTCACAGACCAAGGCAGAGGGACAGAGTGACCTGGGTGTACCAAATCTTCTGCCATGTAAACAAGACCCCACAGTAAACATCCGCACCCCCATCTGTCCAGCTGCTGTCCTGAGTCTGCCTCACCTAATGACCAAGGTGAGAAACTCCAGGGAGTGTTCCAAGGTGGGCTTCTCAAGAATATTCTGTGTTTTAGGGTGTCTGCATATTTCCTGGGAAGCTGATGTCATTCCAGAGGTTTTTCCATGTTTTTCAGCTTGTCTGTTAAGATTGAGGAAGGCTTTCCAAATCCTGGGCTGTGTAACTACAGAGGTCTAGGAAAGAATGGTTTGCTAAGGTGGATGCTGCAGTCACGGTGGCTACATATGGGCGCGTGAATGGGTTCAGCTATTCCAGGCTGAGGAGGAGCCTGGGTCAGCTTGGTGGTCTACCCTAAGACCAGCTGCATGTGAAAAATGAGAAAGGAATATGAGGAGTCCTTGGTTCTTGGCCAATATGAGACTTTTTTCCCAGATTCGGAAGACAGTGGAAACAGGATTGAGGTTGAGGAATGCAGATCCAGGACCCTCATTAAAATAAGAAGGGTTCCTCATTCCCTGACCTTTCCTAACTCTGCTCACCCCCGCCCACTCAAAGTCACATGCCACAGAAGAGGCCTGGATCTAACATCCACGCTACAAGGTTGTACTCTTGGTTGATGGGTCTGGCCTGACTGTGCTTCCATTTACTGCACAATCCTGTGATCTCAAGAGCTGTGGCTGCTGATAGCTGTAACCACAGTGGGTGTGGGGAAGCATGAGCTGAAAGCAGCCCAGCCATCCTTGTTTAAGTGCCTGTGCCTCTTCAAATTAGGAAACTCCTGTGGTCTGCAACCACAAAAGGTTATTTTTGCTCTTTAATTACCACCAGTTGATTTCCCCTCGCTCTCATTAAATGTGATCTTTCATTTATTTGATCTTTGGACATAAAAGTTGTATAAAGGCAGCTCCAAGTGAGGTGGAAAAAGGCGAGTCCCTGACATCGCAGATCCCTGAACACAGCTGTATCTGCCAGACCATTTGGCTCCGAGTCACGCATGGAGCTCTTGCTATAATTTTTTTTATCTTTTTGAGACAGGTGTTCCTATGCAGTTCATGCTGGCCTTGGGCTCACTTTGTAGCGTAGGCTGGTCTCAAACATGCAAATGATTGTCCTGCCTCAGCCTCCCAAGTGCTGGGATTACAGGAGTGTGCTACCACACCCGGTTTTCCTGTTACAATTTGAATTTTCCAAATTCTCTTCCTTCTCCTCCTGGTAGCAACCCTCAGGTTGGACCTACTCTTTTTGTGTTGCAGTCCAGAGATCTTTTTATTATTAGTATATGCTTACAATGCATAACAGTTCCATTTATGTTGGGGAATTTGTACATGTATGAAACACATCCTGAGCTTTTTCACTCCTGTAATGTGAAACTGAGTTTAGCACCTGGACAACCCAGGCATTATTTGGGATCTACATATCTTCACTGGAGCTTTTCTGGGAAGCAGTAGAACACAGCAATTAAAGGTTTTGTGGAATGGATCCAGTGGTGCATGCCTGTAATCCCAGCACCAGGGAACCTGAAGTAGGAGGGTCATAATTCAAGGCCAGCCTGGATTATATAGTGAGACCCTGTCTCAAAGCTTTGCAGTTTCCTGGAGCTCATGTACCTAAGTTCTCTGAAGCTCAGTGAATCGGTGAAGTGGGGGTTACCAGGAACCCCTTTGGAGTGCTATGTTTAGATTCAATGAAGTTACTGTTGACACAGTCTCTTCCACTACCAAGGAGCTGATTAAACAGAGCAAGGCCACTTTGAGAAGCTCCCCAAATCTCTGGTGAAAATTTAGATTGGACACGTCTCTGCTCAAAGTAGCATGGAAAGGCTGGGCCCACACTATGGTTTTATCCCCTTTCAAAGGATCATGTTGAGAACAAAACTGGAGAACAGGCTACAGAGATGAGCACTTTTCCTTAAATTTCTATTTTCCCTCGTTTTGGTGAACTAGTCATTGTTATGTTCCCAGGACTGCAGCAGGAGAGTGATGAATGCCTTGTCAGAAGCCTTGAGGACAGCTTCACTGCTCAGGAGCAAAGGGAACTGAATCCTCCTGTGGCTTTGATCCCCTCTGTCCGTCACAGCAGTACAGTGGAAGTTACTTGTTGAGTCAGGGGTATGACATACCTAGTGCAGACAACTTGTGAGCATGCTCTTAGGATCTCCACAGGGAGGCTGAGGATGGTGTGTGCAGGGAGGTGGACTTGTACTCTGCCTACTGTGCCCTGTGTGATGGCAGAGGACACTTCTGCCACTGGTCACTCTCACCTGGAAAGGACAGAGGCACATATGAGGGCAAGGTCAGCAGTTCTTCCTATTCGGCACCTGCTGGTGGAGTCTCCAACCTCTAGAAGTACACACCTGGGAGGTGGTCTGTATTTCTGGATGCTGGGCGTCTCTCCTGTCCTCCAAGCACATGTGTGGCGAAGAAGAAAATCAATGAGGTGCAACATAGAACAGCCTTAGGACCAGGTCTCAGGATTTCCAGGGAGACTGTGAAGCTGTGAGGGAGAAGGTACCAGGAGCGGGGGAACCAATCTGGACTCATCACCACTCTGCCACTTTCTAACATTGTGACCCTGGTTCTTTGTTCCAGCAGAGTTGCTAGGTAAGACAGCTGCTGTGGACTACGGGGTGGTGCTGTCATGGGGTGGACAGAAGGGGCTTTCAGGTGCTACCTGCCTTTGTTCGCACCTCTCTATGGGGAATACAGAAAGTGTGTGCCCTTTTTGGGTATCTTTCTGATCATTAGCATCTCCAGATGAGGCTTTGGGACAATCATCCACTTACCTGTTCCTCTACCATGACACTGCAAGACATAGGCTTAGTTAAGATTGCATTGTGATTGCTTAAAAGACTTGGTTTTGACTTACAACAAAGAGAAAAGCAATTCCATGACATTCCACATGTGTGACTTTTGCCTATATGTTCTTAATCATTGGTGGGATTTAAGTGAACCTGAAAATATGATGAGGACCATGTCTGTGACACGTGTTTTACAAGTCTTCGGAATTAGTGATGTTATCAGTGTCACACATGTAAATTGTAGTGGAACTTGATTCTTGTTATTTTCCCTTCATTATCCAGAGAAATATTTGTAACCTCCTTTAAAGACAGAAAACAAAGTAGTGTAAGACACACTCAGCCTTCCACGTACCACTCCGATCACAACCAGAGAAAGGAGAGGGGAAGGCATGATTCTGGGGGGAGGCTGGCATTTTGGATTTCTTAACACTCACCACCTTTCCCAAACAGCTTTTCCTAAGGTGCTTTTCGTAAGGTCAAAGTATTAATTCTGACTTTTCCAAGTTAGAGTTGAAATGCCTGGGATTTGTAGCTATCAATTTATGAAATCCAGCATTTTAAATAGTAAATCATCCATTGTCAGATACTTGGAAATCTGTTACTTTGTAAATGAACAAGAAATGACTGTATTATTACTCAACAATACTTGCTCTTTCTGGAAACTTTCTAAGTACAGATATTTGTATATTCACATATCAGTTTAACCCTTCTTGGCTAATTGGGTATAAAAATTTGATGTATTATCAAGTTCTTCGTAATCATAACAATTTGCTTTAATTAATCAACCAAATGTGTTTGAGTGCAAAATCATTTCATCATAAGTCAAGTAAAAATGTCAACTACTCTGTTAATAATATGTCTTCAGCCTTGGCTTTGCTAGCTGACTTTTCTACACGTTATAGATGGCCTCCTTTAACAGTTTGTGCAGGATTCTTCCCTGATGAGAAATTCCCAGCAGCTGGTGGGGTGGTGTCCTGTGGAGAAATGGACCTGGATCACTTGGTTATGTCTGGATTCACAGCTGGCTTTTTGAGGAAACTGCTGTATGTTTTTCTCTCTCATTTCGTGTTTTCATCTTCTCGCCCAGCCTCAGGCTGCTTTACCCTTGAGTCCCAGAGGCTGACTGAGAAATCTGAGAAGAATCACGGTCCCACACACAGAGGGTCCCCCAGCATCCTTGGCAGCCATTGTCAACTCACTGCCTCGCTGATCACATGAACCCTGGGCAGGACCCTGCATGGAGGCCAGGAGGCAGGCTGGCATTGTGTGGGTAAATCGAGCAAAGAAAAGTTCCCCTGCCCCTGTACTCATTATAGCCTGGCAGTGACCTTTCCCCAGACTCAGACCCAAGTCTTGCATGGTGTACACGGGTTATTAAAATATATGGCAAATATTTAAATTAGACTTATTCCACTAAAAGACACATTGCCAGTAATCCCCTTAAATTACTCCCCACTTCCACACTTCAAACATACTTAGCCTGTGGTTCTTGCCATTATCTGAAGCAGTTCTGGAAGTACTCCTTCCCAAGTATCTTAACTAGCTGTGATAAAATTCAGTGAATGCTGCTGCCGAGTGCCATCCAACAGAAAAGTAGGCTCATAAAAACATGACGATGTGTCCTCCTTATCCACTGGACCTGGCACCTGTGATTTCTAGCTCTTTCCCAAAATCTAAATGACTATGAAAGGGAAATGTTTTGAATTGACTTGCAACACCAATTTAGGACACGGAGGCATCCATGACAGGGCAGCTAATGACACCCATGAAAGAGGACTTCCAGAGCTGCATCAGAAAGTGGCAAGGACTAGGGGGCGTGTCCAAAGTGAGAGGTATTTGAGGGGAACTATAGCAATTCATCCCTTACTGTAATGAATTTTTAAAAATTTAATCACATTTTTGAAATTTATTTTTCAATCACATCTCATAATTTTGTATGAGTGCCACCTATGCTATAGCAGCAGAACCTTTAGGGTGGCCACACATCAGGGAAGCCAGGAGAAGGAAAGTGACCTTTCAAAGCCCACACAGTTCTAGATCACTGCTTCTCGGCCCTGTCTCCTCTCTGCTCTCCCAGGCTCAGTGTCCCCACTTG